TTCGGTGTTCTACGATGTTGGTCTTCCCGAATGGTTCCTCCTCTGAGGCGAAGACATTACGGTGCCTACGAATGAGTCCTTTGGCCAGTTTTCTCTCACGAGCAGACAGCTGGTCCCAGTTGACCTCCAAGCCTTTGGTATCCCCTTCCTTAGACTCATTCTCAACGTCTTCTTCCTCGCAGTTCAATACTCGGGCGACTGGCTCACACATTCCGATAATCTCCCCTTTTCTAATATTGACTGCATTGGGAAACACGTTTGCCACACGTAAGGGTATGTCACGATCGGTTTTGACTAGGGTGCTCGCGATCAGGAGCTTGTGGGTCGAGTCATGTGCCGGCTGCACCATCCCCAAACTGTATCCGGGGTTCGTCTCTACTCTGGCGGGGACGATGACTTCTGCATTACCATCTACCTTCGTTGTCTGACAGACCACTAGTCTGACTGTTGCAGCTTCCACATTCGGACGTCCCAACACAAATTCTTCGGCTCCGAAACGCAGAATTTTCTGTTCTGGGTCGATCATTAAACCATACCGGCTGATTAGGTCCATACCCAGAATGAAATCGTCAGCGATTTCCGCCACCAGAACTTCATGCCTTATTCGGAGTCGACCGAGCTCTACATTCACCACCGCTGTACCCAGAACCGGTGTTGTTTCTCCTGTCACCGTCTTTACATTCGTGGCGGTATATACTGATTTAATTTGGCAATTTTGTAACCTGGATCTGCGTGCAAGGGACACTTCGGCTCCTGTGTCGATGATGATCTTCGATTCCCGTCCATTGATTTTTCCGCTGATTGTCGGACTGTCGACGCTCCCCGCGATACTTCTAACCATTACAGTTGTTGGGGCTTCTCTTTTAGCAGCCAGTACGCGCCCCGAGATACCGACTGCCTTTAGTTTTCCTGCTCCTGATGTAGAGGAGGTCGCGGCTGCGATCTCCTCATCGGCGCTGGCGATCTAACACGGCAATCCCTCCTAACATGCCCTTGACGCCCACACCTGTAACATTCTAGGCGCCCTCCATGTTGTCTAGAACTGCCCGTCTTGATTTCGGCAATTATTTCGCGGGCGAGTTTCTCAAAGTTCTCGCTCATTTTGTCGAGACTCTCTTGAATAGGGTTTACTTCGCCCTCAACCCCAATGCCTCGTATCTTAACGTTGGAACGAGGTGAGCTGTTGTATGCGGCGTCCACTTCTAACGCTCGAATCAGCGCCTCGGATGGTTTCTTGAACCCGGAGATTTGCAGGACTCTTCTTACCTCACTATCTCTTACGCCGTTTACGAAGGTTTCTGCTGCCAGTCTGTCTTGGAAGTCTTGCGGAGCTTCAGGATAGGCGAGGTGTACCAAACGTTTAACATCAGCCGCAAACTCCTGAAGAGATTCACTACTCTTCTGAATCCTAGATTTAAGCTGCGCTACGAAAACTTGCCGGAGGTGTTCATCTCCAAATCTGAGTTCGAGGGCGGTCGTCAAAGCGGTATAGTCCTTCTGGTTCTCTTCTGATAATGTCTGTAGAATCTCCAGGGCCGCACCTCGTAGTGCTACTACCAAAGCGGTCGCTTTCTGTTGGTCATTCCAGCTATTCGACAAGGCCGCAGCTTCAAATTGCTTCTTATAAGTAGTCCACGACGTCTGCCCATCGAAAATAGGGGGTTGAACTCTCACCGGACTGAATTCTGCAGGGGTCGCAATTGTAGGTCGTGGTGTTTGCAACCTTTCTTCGAGCTCCTTGATCTTGTTTTCCATTTCATTTCTCACCTCGTCCACTTCATTTCGCACGACTTGGAGGATTTCGCTTCGGCTGTTCAAAAGTGTAGTTTGCATAGCTTTTAAATTTTCTTCCATTATTCTTTGATTTTCTTCCATTATTCTGCGATCTTCTTTTCTATTTTCTTCCATTATTCTTCGATCTTCTTTTCTACTTTCTTCCATTATTCTTTGATTTTCTTCCATTATTCTGCGATCTTCTTTTCTATTTTCTTCCATTATTCTTCGATCTTCTTTTCTACTTTCTTCCATTATTCTTTGATTTTCGCTCAACATTTTCATCATTTTTGTCAGTTGTTCCTCCATGTTGGCTGTTTGCGCTCTTGTGGTAGTCGGCATAAAATTTTCTTCTAGAAACTTCTAGAGCCTTGACAGATGTCAATTCTCGAAGCCAATGTCAGGTGATGAAAGTCTAATTCCGTTATTCCACTCTTACCGCGGGAGAGAATTTTCTCGAAAGTTCACTTTGTTCCGGTCTCCCCTAGTAGCACCAACCAAATTCGAATCCCGATTTATTTCACAATTAATCCCACTTCTGACACCAGTGTTACGATTGACGGACGAATAATAAATCGGGCGTTGGTAAAACTCAAAAATTTATTTCTTCAGGTCGAATTACAACACTATCTATTGCAACGAATATGTACAGAAATTATTCCGGCGCTCTCGACTGTCTTCACTGGATGAATGAATCCATTACCTACGGTCGCCTCTATTTAAACCCATAGTCTCTGATCGAGATCCTTCACGAACATCCATCGCGACTCCGCTTCGAGACTCCCCTGGACGCCGCTTCGAGACGCTCCAGACCTGTCTTTATGCGCCCGCCTCTCGGCCGTCAACAGCGATGATTCACCCATCAGCGCCGTGCGTACGTCCAGAAGGCTCTCGACCGCCGTAGGCGTCGTACTGGGGCGGCGTAAGGGTGTATTTCGTAACAATATATTCTGTGGTAAACTATGTATTGCTTCGATTGTGTTCCACAAAAAAGGGGTAATATCTGAACTTCTGGAAGGCCAAGGGTTAGAAGAGCCTCTCCCATCCAACTGTTAGGGAAAGCCTGATAACGGCCATCCCGCACCCTTCGACGATAATTTGCAGGATAACATAAATTTTGTCATATTTCCAAATTAACTTTCTCGGGTAGCAACGGTAAGTTAAAATCATATCAATTGTTTCATTATTGGAATATATAATTTATTAGTTTCTGAAAATCACCGACATTCAAAAGTTGGCACACGTGAAAAATATCTCTACAAAACCTCCGAAAATGTCTTTTGGGTTGCATCTTCGCCTTGGTTAAGTTCATTATTACTTGCATTGAAAAGGTATAGGTTTTCATTTGTGTATAGTTTGACTTATCTGACACTCTTTTTCGGTTCTACATTGGCAAAACATCTGGAAACAGTATTTATGAACAGACGTTTCATTTATGGTGGATGCGCCGGACTAATCGATAGTAAAAATTTGTTTTTGTAAACAGAAGTTATTCGACTTCTCAAACAATAAATGGTTCGTGTTTAATATGTTCATAAAAATCGATAAACAACCCTGAATAAATAACTCGGGGTCCACATTCTTTTTATTTGGCAATAAATTTAATTTTAGTATTGTGGAGACTACATTTTTAAGAATGTAATTTAAATTTACGCAAAGAACTACTTATACCAAATAATAACTTGGGCAACACGGAAGTATTAGCCACAATTAGCAACGTTGTTGTTGAAGGGTAAGATATATTTTACAAAAACCGAAAAGTAATGGTAAAATATGAGAATTTCACGTATAAACAGAACTTCGACGTTCGTTCTTACTTGGTTATCTCAAATTTAATTGATTGTTTAAAAAACATTAATAAAATAGGAAGGGAAAAAGAGAGAGAATGAATTATTTTTTCAATAGTCAGAGAAAATATGACATTCCACCATTTCGAGTTTAGTAACAAAAAACAAATGTGGGCTAGACACATATGTCATACGGAATATCTTACCATAAATTTATAGTACTAGTCAAAAGTTGTATAATGTTTCAGACATAACAGAAATAACAAAATTTATTTTTACTCAGGTACTTACGTCAAATTTCAATTCATTAGCCGTGGCTGTTCAGAAGTTCTATAAACATCAAATTTTTGACAGTCATTATCACTATGTTTTTGAAATCTTCTAAACACTCACTCTGAGTAAAAATATTCTAGTTCTATAAGTTAATAGCGTAGCTGTTGAAATACGTCGTCAGTATCAGTGTTTAATTTGGCACATACATACACTGTAAATAGTTTAAATTAATTTTCAGAAGTCAACAGCAAAATCTGAAGAATAGTGTAATATTTAATTTATACTTATGTGTTTGCACAATATGTAGATTTTTGATGTCTAAAATTGTAAAGGATATTATCTTAAGATTGAAGTTCTTGGTTCTTGAATAAATCTCAATCAAAGATTTTCAGTAGGATGCAAGACTTTTTTATTTTTCAAGCCTCAAGAAGGGTCAGAAAATAAATAAGTAAAATGACATTCCAGTGAGAATTCTTTATTAAAGATATGACATTAAATACTTGAATTCTTGAAACTGAAAATATTATTTTTTGACCTTTACGAACGTTGGCAGCATAATATTAACATTTTACAAATCATATTATAAAGGAAGCAAAGGTGAAATGTAACATATTCATTCAAAATTATCAAGCATACCTGTCTCTGAAACCGCGATATTTCCGGCAGTATGCGTTGTGCAATAATAACCACAAACTGATAATCCGAAATGTATACATCCGTTACACTACAATCATACAATAATCTACATATATTAAATAAAAAAATAATAAGCTGACAACATTTTATCATATTATTTACGCAAAATAATAAGTACAGTTTATGTTCGTATATATTTTCCTAAATTATATACTTGTTTATGAAGCCCCATTTCACAAATCATATCAACAATATTTGTTCAAATTTTATTAAAATCAATTAAACCGAAGAAACTTTTGGACGCGAACCTATTTTTCGTAAATCAGAAAAATATACACAGTTATTTAAAAACTACACTCCAATAAATCTGAATGAAAATAAGTAATCAATACTTTCATAAAACTGCTTTCATAATATTCTACTACCCACCAAATATACAGCGATAAAATACACTCAACAATGGAACTGTTGATAAATTGGAGCGAAATTAATACACAACTTATCTTTAACTAATAAGTCACTATTTCTTACCGTTTATGATGCCTGCACCACATTAGCACACCAAGCCATCGTTTTAACCACTGCTTCAGTCACTATTTAATCAACAGAACGCGTATTATGAAGGAATATTTGACCCGATGGCACCATGTTGAACGTTATGCCGCCCCCATGCCCTACTGTTATTATTGATCCAAATATCTCAAACCATGGACGTGCTTGTAGCACAAATTGCGCGTCGGTGTGAAAAATTATCTAGCAATATTATCATTTATCAGTAAAGTGGGTATATACAAATTAGGTAGAAGTGTGTTATCGGTAATGTGTTGTACCGTGTCATTTCCTCTGACCGTATTTTAAGTAAAAAGAGGTTTTTGGCGCGTTCTGTTACAGAAAACTGTAACGTGGCGGCGCTTGTTTTAAACACACACTGTAAAAGTAATCAAAATCAGCTGTCTATTCACTTGCGCTAAGTTTCTTCGACTATAACACACAATTATTAGATTCAAACTAATGATGGAATCAGTTTTTTGAAGGTAGTGATAAAAACTTCGAATTAATAATTTAGACTTTCAAAGAAGTTCAGTAATTGATTTCTGTTAAATTTGTTAATTTATAATAACAAATTATCTAATTCAAATTTCTCAAATGTCTTTTTATACCAAGTAAATAACGAAGTTCAAGGTATACTTGGTTATTCTTCCAGTTAATCATTATTGCAACGGTAAGCTTTATTATTTTGGTGTTGTATGAGCATGAAAATCCAAGAAAACACGAAAGCAGACATTCTTCAATATTCTAATACTTTTCTCAGTCGGGAAGGAGGAATGTAGGATGTAAAAAGTGTCGTGTAAAATTTTGTAAGCACTGACATAACTTCACACTTTACTTCCCCAAGTGGATTCTATTTGCGACATCGCAAAATTCCTACTGTGAGTTGTAGTGTGAAATCGTTGCCACACAGAATTCCTCGTGAAAATGAAGTTGATAAATTATTATCTTTATAGTGTGGTAGAACTCTGTCTATTCCAAGTTAACAAAAATACATTTGTAATTTACGAAACTTTAACAAATGAATGTTTCATCTGTATTCAGCAATGCAACAAAGTGTTTCGTAATTTTGTGCGGCTTAAATTCATTCGAAACGTGTGGCTTTCCTTGTGGTATAGTCGGCGCAGTTCAAAAAGAATTTTCATTTGTCGTTTGTTGAGATCAGTGATCGGATTCGCGGAATTGATCCATAGGCGTACCAACGTACAGTAGCGGATATCAAGGTCAAGCGTTTTTATTACTTTTTTAATAGCCTGTGTATATTTTTTATTCGATCTTGTAGAGTAATTCTTTCTAAAAACGAAAAAAATAGCTATTATAGTTATACATTAAAAAATCATCAGCAATTTAAATACTTAATTAAATTAAATTTCGTTACCGAAAATGAACCATAAGAATGATCAAGTGTACCTTGATTATTTGTCAATAATTCAATATTGTATTGAATGTAATGTAACGATGGGTGTCAAAAGCTGTCAACAATGTCGAGGAGAGAAGAAAGGCAATTTTGAACTACTTCGATAGATGTTTCCTTCTTTTTTCCTTATTTTTTTTTGACTAAAATGTCTTATTCATTTATATTTTAAAAACAAGTCTACAAATATAAACAAAAAAGTATACAGTGCAATTTAAAAATCAAAGCTGACTACTGTCTGTCAAAAACTAAGCGTCTTTTTTTAGTAAATCACAATGAAGTATTTTTGAAACAAGTTCATTTGATCTATCATTCGTCCGAATCTGGTAAAAAATAAGCAACATACAGCGTCAAAGGTTTTTTGTCACACTGTATATCATTGCGCATAACTAATTAAAAAAGTTACCTTATTTGTATTGAACTTCCCTATCCTCGGAAACACAACAAACAGCAGATTGAATTGTTACAATTTTCAGACATCCATATTTCAGTAACACCCTGTACGTTAATACTGCATCTTGTTATATTTTTTGATGTATTTATTTTTTGTTAACTGTTTTATATATTTAAAGTTGATAATCACTGCAATTTTTTACTTTTTAGGAGACAAAATACAGGATGTTCTGCTTGAAATGAAATATCAATACTTGAAAATTGTAAAATTTTAGTATTTTGTTATAAACACCCCTGTATATTAAAATTTGAGTTAATTGGTGCAAAAAAGCGCGCACGTTCATTTATTCCTCTATCAGATATTGTAATACCGATTTTAAATTCAAACCTATTGCGTTTTTTGTGAACCATTTCATTATCAAAAAAATTAGAAAAAAAAATGAAACAACGTGGCAACGTCGTATCGGAACTGCAAAAATAAATTGTGGTTATAAAGCCTAGGAAGGAGCTAATATCTAAAAATATATAGGGTGTTTCATCAAAAAAACTAAGTTGTGTGTTATGCAGTAAAAACAGAACACTCTCTATAGTTAAAAAATCATTTTTGAGTATAGTCGTCAAAGAACCATACAAATTTGGTTTTTGACTTTTTCCACCTCTAATAATAATTAATGACATATTGAGGATGGCGCGCTTGGTGATTCACCCTGTACAGACTATATTACAAAAATTTAAGTGTGCCCCTCCTTCGCGAGAAAAGTTTCTATGGGCGCCCATGCGTCTTTTCCCTAAAAAGATCCAAGCAAATAACTCACGTTAAATAGACAGCGTAGGTATATCGATTTCACCGAAATGAAATTTCAAGTTACTCGAGTTTCACAATTGTTGTGCTGGAGCTTTCCATCTCTAGCTTTAGTGTTTAAAATAGGATTCGAAATTTCACTCGAGAGTAAATATTTATTATTTGTTTTGTGTACTTGTATTACATTCTTGTATCAAGGTTACCTGAATTAATTTTTACTTCCCGAGCGTAAGCAACATTTCATACTATGTTGTTTTTATTAAATTTGTTATCTCAGTTTCTCTCGATTTCCAAAAAGAGACGGTTTGGATCAGTTTCCATGTCCTGGTGGCGTTTCGAGGTTTTCAAAATCTCAAAAACATAACATGAAACTTTTTTTTGAAGTTATTTCTTTCTTCTACGTGTTTTTGTTTTTTTCTGTCAAACAATTTTGAGCATTTTGACGAGGCGAACATCAACTCCGGTCCAAAGTCACATTTTGTTACACTGGTACTTGGAGTGCCTTAATCCTTCGCCCTAGCTCCAGCAGTACGTAAATAAGTTAGACAATGGCAGAATTTCTTTTCTCAAAAAATTGTGTAATGTCATAAAAACATCATTTCTAGACACGACCTTGTAAATTGTGACTATATAAATAATTATTAAGATAATTTTTACTTCCCTTTTACACTAAATAGATACCTAAATATAATTAAATACAATCAGATAAATACCTATTTGAATTCTCCATTCGATGATTTTTACTAGTACTTAATAAAATTTTTACGTCACATCAATCTGCGTTAGGAAAAACTGAATTCACTTTTTACTGGGTAACTAGAGTAGCAGACATTAAAATTTTAAAATTCTCAGCATCGAATTCTTGAGCTGATGTGATTTTTTGATTATTTATTTGCGTTAGAAAATTAGTGGAAAAAATTTACTGTCGAAACGGTAGTAAAACTTTTTCTGCCTTATAGACAAAGATTACGATTATTAATAATAATAATAGTAATAATAACGCGAAAAAGAATTATTTTTTCTGTCTTGTTGCGAAAATAACTAATAAAACTTACTCCCCATCTAGAATTTTACAAAAAATGCTTTTCGCTTGTGGAAACGAACTCCGGATAATTTTTAATCCAGAGGGAAACTTGACTGAACTTGGCATTTGGATTTGGATTTATATTTTACTCACTAAACTGACGTCAATTTGCAGAATACTTCAATATCATAAATACTAAAGAGGCTCCGAAAAAGGAAATATAAACCCAGAAAGGTTAACTTCAAAATGGTGCAACATACTTAGAAGAGGTGAATCACTGACAAGAAGTACGGTTTCATTTCTTACAAATAAACTACCGATAATTTGTTAAAAATTTATAATAAAAAATAAACATTTTTGTTGTTTCTATTCACTAACAATGTGTTGTAAGTAAAATAAACAATATATTAAATAGGATTAGCAATGTTTCAACAGTGCAATAATAAATAAATACTAAAACTAAGTTATAAAAATTAACGTCTTAGGGGTAATATCAACAAAAATATATACAAAAATGTATAAATTCCTGACATTATAGTAGATAAAAATCAGATCCGAGTTTTAAACACTACTCAAGTGGTATTAATAATAAAACACAAGAAAGTATTTGTGTATGGCTTCGTCTTTGGTTGTACTAAACACAGATATGCTAATTAATAGTGTCTTCTGAAGGGATCCTTCATGTATGCTCCTCGCTTCGTTTCTTCCCAAATAAAGTTAAAGTAACTGTACGTCACAAGCCACATATAAATATAGATTACTGAAACGAGAAATAAATGCAACTGTTTCTTTTCTGGGAAACATAAAAACTCACTGACTGAGATTATTCCAAATACAATCCAAACAGTTCCTTCTATGACTTTCTCATTAATATAAAACTGAATAGCGGTGTACAGCACTGAGACTAACAATCCCACTGCTAACATTATGGCGAGAACAACCCAAGGTAACATTAAAAATGCTTTTCTCTGCAAAATGTCACGTCGATAAAAGGAAAAAATTCTTGACATGGATTCTTACCATACATGCTCCCACGATTAAAAGTATTGAAATAAAGATAGCCATACAGAAATTTATGGTAATGATAATCCTAACTGTAACATAAAGTTATTAAATTATGGACATGATAGAGCTATAAATTTATACCTATATCTTCGTCCAGCCAGTCTAATACTATGGTTTTAAATTCTACATGTGTGGTGAAAATTACAATAATTCCGATGATTGCTAACACCTGAAATTAAAAATTGGTTTGTTTTTGTACACGAAATTTTAATTGTAACATACGATTCCTCCAAACCCTGCAACTAAGGTCCCTGTCCGGACGCTGGCACATCCCAGGAATGTTTTTAGTGGTTTTGTCGACATTTTCAGGTATCTGGAACAAACATACATATTACAATAATTAATTTCACTTCTTTAACAAATTACAGAATCAATGAAGTTTGTAAGTAATAAATTATTATTATTATTAAAAGATGATAAACTATTCTTGCATCCAATCACAATACTTATTTATGTATTAAGGGCATAATTAGGAGATTATTGCACGAGGGAATGTTTACAGCCCGACGAAGGAGGGCTTTTAAGTTCCTGAGGGCTATAATCGACAATTATGCCCGTTGTACATATAATAGTTTCTTATATTTTAATTTCTAACGAAATATTGAGTATTTTCCGCAAAATTGGGTGAATTGTGCCGACGCGAACTTTAATACATAGCTACCACGTTGTTTATTTGTTAATAATTCGTTTTTCAAAATGCTAATTGAAGAAGCGGAAAACGTTTATTCAAAAGAAATTGTAGAAGAATTTGAGGTCGCCCAGGAAATGATTTGATGAAATATACGATTTTCCTCAACTTTGATAAAAATGTTGAATATGGAAGCTTGTTTAAATAATGAATTAATTTAAATGATTGTTCTTATCAAGTTTTGATTGATCTGTGCCATAAAAGCCTATTTATGCCCTCATTTGGGTGCTTTTACATATACAAGATTATGATTCTAAAATAAAAAAAATAAAGCTGAAACATATCACGATTTGAACTGATCATCTACAAAGGAAAAGTGACCCGTTATAATATGAGGGGGTAATCCTTCTCTTTAATTAAATCAAAAACAGCTCTTGATACTGTTAAAATTATTATTAAGTAAGTATATTACAGCACTCAATTTAATTAAACACCTAAATTACTGTGCAAGCAAATTTAACGCTAGCATTAAGTAAATTTACAATTTATATCTCCTTCGTCCGAGTTTATGTATGTTAATGAACTTAGGTGTATATTTTTTTAAGTAGTGTTGATAAGTTATAACTTAGTACACGTTGTTACAACTACATCACAAAAAAGTATTTTTATTGTTTATGAATAGCGAATTTATTTTTCAAGTGTTAATTTTTAATACTTTCCGAAAACGTTAAAATCGATATACACACATTTTTTATTTCACCTTTCTTGTTGGTCAGAAAAGTGCTATAGCGAAGGGTAATATCCCCATCTGTCAATGTTTGCTATGTAAATATTTGTCAATCTTTTCTTTAGGCGTTCTTTGACCAGATTTGCCAAACATACCTAGTCATGCCACGTATTGTTTAATTAATGTAGTTAAAGTTCGTTCCATTGGATCTTCTTAGAATGGCTAAAACCAAAATTTGGTGTAGAACAATAAAGCTCATGATTTTAGACACAATTTTGTGGTTCTTCAATTTTGTTATAAAAGTTATGCACGACGATAATATGTCAGACAGTGCCACATCAGTCACGAAAAGTCTGGTCATGACAGGTCAGATCATATCAGATAGCATCAAGCTAAGCTAGGCCAAGTAAGGTCAAACAAGGTAAATTTTTTTTGGTGAGACAACAGACTTATATTTAATATTTTATACATATACAGTTGTGTGGTTATTCAGTTAATAACTTCCTTATTGTTTTTGTGTGTGCCCTACATAACGCTTTTGGTGAAGAGAAACTTTTTTGAAGAAGTTAACGCGGAATTTTTATTGTGTATTTAGTGTATACAGAGTGTTTTTGAGTAGTCATAAAATCAAAATCATCTTAATAAAAGTTCTTTCGTTTTTGAGATAAAATTCGCTAAAAAAAAATTGGAGGATTTTGTCAACATGCGTCGGACTGGGGTCGCTAAAGAACCATCCAAACACTAAATGCGGAACTCGAAATTTTAAACATTGTGGAAGAGAATCCAGACATAAGCATGCGAAGATCAACGTACAAAGTAGGGGTTTCCCCGTATGTAGTTGGGAGAACCTTAAATGAACAGGACCTACAACACTTAGAGCCTAACGATTTGCCCGAAAGAGTTGCATTCTGAGCGTGGTTGCTTCACAAGAACCGGGAAGATCCACATTTTACTGAAATCAGATGAGGCAACATTTACTAGAGATGGTGTTTTTAATTCTCACAACACTCATGTTTGGTCAGACGAGAATCCCCACGCAATCAAGAAACGCCCTTTCAGGACCGTTTCAGTGTCAATGTTTGGGAAGTAATGGTTGGAACAACTTAATAAGTTCATACATTTTACCACGACGATTAACAGTCGCTTATTTTTAGAGATTTTAATAATACCACGACCAACTTTTTAGATTACCATGTACCATTTGGCATGATATGTGGTATCTCTACAAGGGGCTCCAATTCATTGTGCCCGTGAAGAGCGTGTATGGTTTAACGAGAATTTCCCTGGACGGTAGATATGCAGAAATGAACCAGTCTTATGGCCTCCTAGGTCTCCCGACCTCAATCCTTGCGATTTCTTTAGGGGTACACGAAGCAGTTGGTACATCGGGCCCCGTTGGACACAGTTGAGCAGCTAAGAAATCGCATTGAGGAAGCAGCGACATACATTAGAGTTAATCCTGATATGATCTTTAGGGCGCAGCAATCACTGATTCAGCGTGCCGAAGCCTGTATTAGAAATGAGGAACGTCATTTCGAACGCTTGTTGTAATAGATACTGTCAATTTTACTTTGCGACTTTCAATACATAATTATTTTTTGAAAAATAAAGAAAAAGTTCTCTTTAAAACAGTGGGGCTATTTACAAATCATCAACTTCTAAAAAATAGAATTATGTAGAACACATAGCCAACAAGAAAGGTGTAGTTGGTTTATTCCGTAAAAAACGGTACCCCGATAGACTTATTTATCTTTATTAGAAGTATTTTCTCAACTTATCTTTCACTGAATTTTGCTACATAGCTTGCATACACTTACTCTGGCGCTACCTACATTTTACAAATTGCTTGTAAATTAATTATTCCTTGTCTTTTAAAACGCACAGTGGCACATGATAATGTACATTGCACAATAGTCAAACTTATTGCAAGCTCAGTTGACATTTACCTAGTAAAACTTTTATGACTTCAAGCGAACCACCCTTATAAAGCAAACTTGCCACTGTAAACTGAAAAAAACGAAATTTCAGGACAGAGTAGACCGAAGGATGAACAGGCCCGGACTAATGACAATTTTGTTTTACTATTAAACCCGCTTTAACTAGTTATTTGTACTTGCTACAGTTCGATTTAAATTTACAAATGTTCATGTAAATAGGTGCATGTTTAAATATAGCGGTTTTTTTTTTCGTTTTTAGTATGTACATTATATTTGATCTAGTTTTCTCTTTTAAATAAGACCCTTTTCATATACGAGCGGTTACAATATGCGCCCATTTTTATGGACCCAAACCCCAAGAATTATTACTATCCGTTATTGTCAAAATGAGACTATAAAGTTTTACTTGAATCCTTCGGTTTTCTTTGCTAATCTCCAATAGCCTGGATATCTGTAGTTTGAAGTCTTCATTTTCTAAAATTTTGCAACCTCCACCGGTGTCGCATGACTTTTATTGCGAGAATTTTTGTAAGTGGAAATTTCATGCGTTTTTAAAAATACAACTAACCGACTGTCAATGTATTGAGAGATAATCGTGAAATCAGGTTTGCAATGTCTTTCAGTAGATCTTTTATTTTGTTTTAGATAGTAATTTCACTCATTTGAATTGACACACATCGTGTAACCCAGTACAAATTCCTAGAATTTACTAATTTAAAAAAATTATACTCGTATAAAACCACGGGCAACAAATTAAAAAAAATGTTCTATTGAATAGTTGAAATGTGTCATGATTTTATACGAATGAAAAAAAAACATATCTATGAGACCTTTGACACTTGACATCAAAAGTTTACATTTAACAAGATACAACATACAGAAGTATATGAAGAGAATTCAATAAAAACCAAGACTGTTTTCGTCATGCGTCTATAGAATAACAAGATTAAACTGCGACAACGTCACGGCCGAAGATCATTAAGCAAATACTGTTCTATACTTAGAAAATTTTGTTTGTTTATACACCAACTTTACTTAACTTACAGAGGTTATAAAAATAAAATTCGCAAAATCAAATTATAGTTCTTCAAAGAAACAGGATTTCAAGTTGGCATAATACTTTACAGTGATGAAAACAATGTTCTTTTCAACGTGAACAACACTGAAAAATTGGTCAAAAGTTATTTCAACAGAACTTTCCTCGGCCCTGGAGTATCACCACATATATGTGTGGTGGAAACTCAAATTATAAAATTTGAGTTTCCTCTTTACAAGATTTCGTGATGACCTCTTCAATATTTTTGCAAGGATATATATACCATTTTGGGTAGATGCAGTGTAATGCTAATGATAACAGTGTTGTATTCGCAAATTTTCGGGAAAATGGGGGGAGCCGTCCCCGGTTTAATCAATAATAAAAATTGACTTATTAATTATTTTTTCTGAATCACCCTGTATAAGTAATTCTAAAAAATATGAAATATTTTCCACATTTTCGATAGGATTTATTCGGCAAAATTTTGAAATGACGTCATCAGTTTTTGAAGACGATAAACAGATACTTTTAATTACAAATTTACCATGCTTACGATAACTTTAAAGCGTCTGCAAGATTTTAAAGCATTCGGGTTCGCAGTTTCTGATTTAATCAATAAAATGGATTGACGCGATCATCTTTTTTTTTTCAAAATTTCCTAGAATTTTGCAATTTAACTTTGAAACTGCGAAACCGAATTTAAGATTATCATAAGCATGATGAATCCTTAATAAATTTGTTTTCATTTTATGCCCCCAAAAAATGATGACGTCAGTTTACAATTTTCTCAAATAAATGTTCCTTAAATTTTATAAATTTTATAAAAGTACATATTCCTGCATGTGTGATTTATGAATCCGTGTTCAGTTTTTACCCCAAACATCCAAATTTTTGAGAGAAAAAATCAAATTTGTATAGAAACATTTTACAATTTAATTTTGAAAATGTTTTAAGGTTGTGGAAATCATGATAAAACGTTAATCAA